TTTGGAGATCATTTCTACATTACTAGCAAGGTCGTCGATCTCCATCTTCATCTCACTCTTCTCCTTCTCCAGTTTCTGCTTGACCCTCTGCAGGTTGTCAATCTGCTCCCCGAGCTCGGCCACACTGTCCGCGTGCTTCTTCCTCAGGGTGGCAGCCGTGGCTTCGTGCTGCAGGGTGGCCTCCTCCAGGTCCCTGCGCATTTTCTGGAACTCAGCCTCCCGCTTCTTGTTCATCTCAGTCTGGGCTGAAGTGGCCCCACCGGCTTCTTCCAGCCGCTCGCTGATCTCCTCCAGTTCCCGGGAGAGGTCAGAGCGCTGCTTCTCTGCTTTGGCCCTGGAGGCCCTCTCTGCCTCGATTTCCTCCTCCAGCTCCTCAATGCGGGCCTGGGAGTGACACAATCACATTATCATAAATTTAATGTGAGTATTTTTTTGGTGTGCAGAAAAAATAGAGGTGAGATGACTCACCTGCAATTCCTTGATCTTCTTCTGCAGTTGAATTTCTACTGCTTGCTCATCTTCAATTTTGCTCATCAAATTGCTAATTTCAAATTCTTTCCTTTAGGCAGAAGAACAAGACATATTAATACCCATCTGAATTAAAAGATGGGGTCACATAGAATTTTTTCTGGAGCTCATACTTTTTAAGCTTTTCATCAAGTTGTTGTCTGTCATTTTCTACATCCATTATGGAATCTTGGGCCAATTTGAGGTCACCTTCCAGTTTCCTCTTTGCTCTTTCTAGGTCCATTCGAAGTTTCTTTTCTTGCTCCAGAGACCCTTCAAGCTAACGAGAAAGTAAATATATTATCAATTGAAAGCGTATTTTAGAAAATCTTTCAAAAGGATATAAAAAAAATGTGCTTACATCATCCACTTGCTGTTCTAGCTTGATCTTAGCTTTGGTCAGGGTGTTGACTTTGTCCTCTTCTGCCTGCAGGTCATCCAGGGTCTGCTGGTGGGCCTCTTGGAGGGCTTTCTTCTCTTTGGTCAGCTTAGCGATGGTTTCATCCAGGCCTGCCATCTCTTCTGTGAGGTTTTTTACCTACAAAAGTTAAGAAAGGGATGATCTCTGCTATAAAGAAGCTCAGTGGGTTGGCAGAACCTCCATGTAGTACAGCAGCAGAGGATTCATACCTTGTTCTCTGTGGCATGTTTCTCCTTCTCAACCTTGGCCAGGGTCAGCTCAAGGTCATCAATGTCTTTCTTGAGTTCTGAACATTCATCCTCCAGTTTCCTTTTCTTGGCTGTCAGCTCAGCACTGATCTCTTCCTCCTCCTCAGCTCTCTCAGTCACTTCCTTGATTTTGGCCTCAAGCTGGATTTTGTTTTTAATCAGCTGGTCACATCTTTCCTCTGCATCAGCCAGGCTATCTGCCTCCTGTGGAGAGATTCATTAAGATATTTAGAGAGTTTGCTAATTATTTTAAAACTTGTTTTTGCACAAAATATTAGTGTGTTACCAAATTCTGTTGACTTTTTTGGTATGAATATAACTTCAGATTAATTGATCTTTATTACATGGCCTGGAGAAATGCAGTTAATTAGGAGTGAGACTATAGCTTTAGAAGCAAACTGGTCTGCAAAATGATTGGGTTGGAGCCATTGACTACTTAAAAAATAGTGTGTAGTAGAATAGAAAGACTTCTAGACAGGGCAAAAGGAAGCCTGGGTTTTTGTTCCAGTATAGCCTCCACATGTATAACCTTGGGCAAATTGCTCTATTCCTCTTATTCTCACATTTTTCATATGTAAATAAAGGGGTTGGAATAAATAAGTGCTAAGAGCTTTTCATCTTTGTAATATTCAAATATTTTGATTTAGTGAAATTGGTTAGTTTTGGTTTTGATTATTTCCTACCATCCTCAAACAACTAGTTACTAGACTGATATAGAAAAAGAAGAAAGATAAGTTAAACACATTCCCATACAGCACTTTTTGAATATAATAAAACCTCCCTATATCCATAATAGTGCTATCATTGTCCAAAATTTATATTTCCATTTAAAGAATTGCCTACTAGTCTCAAAATGAATTTTAAAATATATAAGAATGTGCAATTCTAAGAAACCATGTAGCTCAGTAAACTTTTTATAAGTGACTGATTAAAGGACTCAAATAAAAATTTGTTTAGCCACTAACTTTTTTTTTTATTTTTATTTTTCATCCATTAACTTATTAGATTACTCTGGTCTGGGGAATTTCTTTAACTTCTCAGTGTTCGTTTTGCTCATATCTTAAGTTTTTAAAATGTTTAAATGAATGATAATAGGGACTTCCCAGGGTTCCTTTGCTTTTCTTTTTAATAGTGATGCATTCAGTACATATTTACTCACTATTGATGATAACTGTGAAAAGAGGTTGAGATGGGAAGGCTGTGGTCCTATGCTTTTGGAAAAATGTAACCTTCATGTAAGTTAAGCTATTAAAAGGCAAAGTTGAAAATAACTTAAAAAATTTAGGAAAACTATGCTTTTTGTAGGTTCCTTCATGACATTGTTGAGCTTTTTGAAACAAAGCTGTGGTCCTATGCTCTTGGAAAAATGTAACCTTCATGTAAGTTAAGCTATCAAAAGGCAAAGTTGAAAATAACTTAAAAAATTTAGGAAAACTATCCTTTTTGTAGGTTCTTTCATGACACTGTTGGGCTTTTTGAACCAAAGAAATGGAAGGTTGTGTTTCACCAGAGCACTAGTGCGAAACTTATTCCCCACGCCGACTACAGCTCCTTCCTGAATCACTAAACAGAGGCCTTAAAAACTCAAGATTTTTTT